CCGACCTGGCCATGTCGATTTCCCCTCCCGGAGGAGACAGATGAGGAGGAACCATCGCGCTTACTGTCGGTGACGTTCGAGCCAGTAAAGATCCGTTCCTTTATACTAGATGTGATCTTTGCGCCGCAGATTGGGGAGTGAATGTACTGCGCTGGTGCTATAAGTTGGCGACGACATGTTTAGTAACGAAGTGGGTGCGTAACATAATATTGGCACAGATAATAGGTGGTAATGAGAACATTAGGGAGTTGCTATATCCACACCCTTTTATCATAAATTTACACCCTATTCATGGTCGGAATTTACATGTATATAAAAAGAAGGAATTGCTAATAAATTCACGCCCTTTCCATTTTATAAATATATATATGCACCCCTCTTCCACTTCAAACTCATTTCCTTATATTAACAGATGTAATATGAGTGTAGCGGAGCTACCCAGCTCTTTAGTCCGAGGAAGAATTTTTAGGCTAAAATCCTCTTAGTTCTATAGAAGTAATGAAAATTTGGCTAAAAGCCACTTAGTCAAAAGGAACTAATGAAACGACTAAGAAGCCACCTTGTTCTAAGGAACTAGGAGAGATTTTTCTAGTATACAAGCAATAGGCTTAAGGTTCATAGAACCAACGCACAGAGTCCAAGGAAAGGCTAGGAGCGTACACAGAGTTCAAAAAGAAGGTACACACGAAGTGCGCAAGAGAATAAGTCAGAGAGACTTGCGATCTTCAACTCAAAGTGAGAACTGATTATGTTTATGCATTAAGATTTTATGAATAATCCTTCTCTAAGTACCCTACACTAGATTAATTTTTACTATAATAGTAATTATAAAATGCAGACTTCGTTATTGGACAAAATGTCGTCCAAGCATCAGTCAATGATGTACTTAGTACAGCGATACCAATAATCGAATCCTACTCGATAGGATACGGTATCACCGTATACCGTATCTTAGCGCTCATATTCAATACCTCTCTAAAGAGAAGTATCAAGAATTCATTAAATGTAATATAGAAACTTCAACTGTAAACTTTCGGTATGATGTTCCAACCGTCGTGTAACCCCGATACAGTGACTGTCTGTAACACTGAGTTCTTGTGCAGTCGTACTAACGACCGAACCATAAGTGAGGCCATTGCACTCACTCGTAGTACATTCAAACGCTAGCGAACGCGTTCATCAGATGGACATCTGATGAACGAGCGGCAGGCATCTTCACGGCTCGATGCTGCCAGCTGATTCATGGCTCGTACCTTCTGAGTCATGGTAATCCTAGGATGACACCAAATTTGTCATCCAGATCTAGTACGATGAAATCATCATCGTATGCTTTACCTTCATGTGTGTAGTGAACTTCCACTACATGTTTCTTTACTGTTACGGATGCTCCAGTTGCAAGGCGCACCGTCATCCTCGTTAGAAGGGTCTCGCACTCAATATATTAAGCCTACGATCATCTATTGAATGGTGCTAAATAAAGTTGTTCGACGCCCCACATTCAACTAGGGCGAAAAGTGACATGTTCTTTGTCACTTCGATCTTCAAGGTGATGAGGGATGTCTCATCACTGGGAGCGGCAACACACAGTGACTGTGTGTTGGGAGCAACCTTCGTCAAGAGTCCCGGGAACTCTCTTGACGTTGCTGGATCAGTAGGGCGGTCCGCCCTTACTGATACCAACCGTTTTTTATGGTCCACCACGTAGTTGCGATTTCGCAGCAACGTGGGACCCACGTCGCTGGCCCTTCTTGGCAGACGATCGATCGTCACTCCCAGTGTTACGAGACAGTGGGCGTGAAGCAATACAGCCATATGCGTAGTGGACCATCTTTTGGCAGCGATTGCACTCTTGCAATCGCTTGTATCCTGGAGAGCGAGGTCGCTCGCTCTATACATAGGAGAGGTTCATTGTCTATGGACCTCCACCCTCCCGTCGTCGGGTAGGATCCCGAGTAGACATGAGCCTGTTGTACGCTGAGGTCTTCCTGTACCGCTGAAGAGACCGCCTGGTCGAGAGATTCTAGCTCCAGGCGGAACAGGTGGGTCTTGACATGACCATTCGTCAGACCCTCCATGAACACAGTAACCTGCGTGTGTTCATCTTTTGGGTTGAGCACAATACAACTAACAAGGTATCGTACGTGTTGGACGCAAGCGTGTATCTCACGCTTACCCTGTATCAGATACAGGAGCTCAGCTTGCGCCCTGAATATGGCGCGACGCGGTTCAACCGTGTGTTGGGCCGCGCCTTGAAGACATCATACGGTGGGAAAACGTATGGATCATGCAGCTTGATCCCTAATACTCAAGCTTTGGCACGTCCAGCCAAGTTTGACATAGCGGACTTGACCTTCATCGCATCTTCATCGAGGCGACGAGCCTCATTGGCATCGTCGAGCTCGACAAACCATCCCACCAAGGAGTCGCTTTCGAACGCCTTGTACTTGGAGACATCAATCTTCAAGGACTCGGGTCGACGTATATGTGTCGACCCGGCAGCAGCAGCACTAGCCTGCTGTTGTATTAACAATGTAGTCGTTGGGCACCCTGCTGCATCATCAAGTCAGATTGTTGAGCGCCTTGTTCTCTCAAAAGGTCTACCTGCTGAGAACCTTTCTCCTGTAACAAGGTGCAACTATTTACGACTTCGTCAAGATCATATGAGCTTGGAGTTGGTTGCATGTTCTTCGTCTCCGCTAAGAGAGAGCAACATGGCACCAACGGCAGGATTACCGATGGATTCAGCCATGCGCTGTACCGCCTGACATTCGAGATCACTCAATGGCGGAGGTCATCTCGCGTTGCCTGTTGACGTTCTTCATCCGCTGGCTCCATAGCGGATGGCAAATGTCAAAGCGATAGTCGATTGGCCCGTTACACAGTCCCAGAAGGACTTGCGTAAGTGGCTTGTCCTTGCCACTTACTTGCATAGGTACAGCGAGAATTACGCTGATATGGCTCAGCCATAATCCAATTTTTTTAAAAAAAGGATGTGGAATGGTGTTGGCATGCCAAAAACGAGGACGCTTTTCAAGCGGTGAAGGCTAGCCTTCTTCATGCTCCCATTTTGACTTTGCCAGACCCTAATCGACCATTCAGTGTCGTCTGTGACGCATCAGATTTTGCCATTGGCAGTGCTGCTATACAAACAGATGCTGAAGGACGTGAGCGTGTGTTTGCCCTTGTAGTCCGCTAGCTGAAAAATGTAGAGAAGAACTATCCAGTTCATGACAAAGAGCTACTTGCAATGAAGTATGCTCTAGTCAAATTCAGAGTTCATCTGCTGGGCTCGAAGCCTTTTGTGATCTATACCGATCATGCGTCTTTACGCACTGCGGCTCAGTCGCCGCATCTCTCGCAGAGAATGACCAGATGACTATCATTCTTTGCTGAATATAACTTTGAGGTGAAGTACAAGCCGGGAAAGCAAAACGCTTTGGCTGATGCGTTGTCACGCATACCTGACTATGAGCTTGCTCATGTCAAGATGTTGTCGCCATTGATCACGGATCTAATTCGTGCTGTATACGCTAAGGTTGACTACTGTGTAGCTATGCTACTTGCCCTTGGCATTTTGCAATTCGGACATCAAGTTGTCGACACGACTATGTGCAAGCCTTCCTCGATATTTCATCGATCAGGGGATGTTGTGCGGATCCACCGCGCATTGGGGATCCTCATGATGATGAATTCAAATACCACATCCTTTATGAGGCACACGACACTGTCATTGGTGTTCATTTGGGTCGTGAAAAGACCTATGGTGTAGTATACTAACGTTATTGTTGGCCAAACTGTAAAAATGAGTGAGCACATATGTGCGTACGTGTGAAACGTGTCAACGTGTTAACCTGTCGCCCCATTCGGCGACGCCTTTGACTAGTTTGCCTGTCCCCACCAAGTGTTAAGTATGGATTTTGTGTTTGGTCTACCGAAAGATTCGCATGGTCGTTAAACGGACCACAAAGTGCTACCAGGTGTAATAGAGCACCCTTCGATTATGCTCCTAGAGTATAATCTACCTTCCATGATGACAGCGAAAGCAGGTGTCTCATAACTTCACGTACACGTAACAGAAGAAGTCTTATCAACAAAGGGGTTGAGAGGAAAAAGAGAACTGTATTTAATATAGTTGACTTATCTAATCAAACTAATCTGTTATAATCCGTGTTAGCTATATTAAACTTCAACTATGTATGTTCACAACTTGCCCTCCACTCATTGCGCGCGTGAATCGGTCATTGGTCAGTGCGTTGGCTGATATAATGGCTTATGGCAACCAGATAGAGGGCATCTCCAACTTCAAGACGATGCAAGCAGAACGATAATATAAGCAAAGATAATATTGTCGAATAATATTAGTTATGATAATATTCTAATTTACACTTCATATAAGTGTCAATATTATGTCACGGACTCACCCCGTTACACTTAAACTTATCAAATGTGCGAGACCTCGGTCAATGAAGCAAGTGCTCATCTCCACATACTTTTGCTTCGAATGCTTACTCTGGTAGGCTATGTACTCCCATCTGTCAAAATGTAAGAATAAAGATAGCATGAGTGACTCGTATACTAACGCGTGCCAGACGCGTTTCGTCTCTCGCTGGGGCCTCATCAGTGGTTTTGCCAATTTACAAGTGAGAACCACCCGATCATCTTTCGATCTAAGATCTATCACATCCATTAAAGCATCTAGAAGCCTCTACAACATTTTCTATGTACTAGCGTAGGTTAAAGCTCTGGAGTCGATACAAAGTGCAACTTGCACTTTCCAACACCATCACTGTCAGCTGTATTGTTGCTGGGCATAATTATCGTCATATGTTGTGTCATGATCAGTAGCCTATAGATTGTGGCGGATACAAGAAACTATGAGAAAACGGCTTATCAAAAAACACGTTAGTTAGAAGAAATGCCATTGGATAGGATCTCTAATTATATATATATATATAGATCCACGCGTCTCACAATTGAAATTATCGCCAATTTCGTAGCAAATGACGCGGAAGACCAAGAAGACGTCGACACCACGATCGACTCGCATCGATAAGGATGTGAAGACGACGCTTATGCACAGTCGTCTACTTTCTTTTCTATACGATTTTATGTGGAGTTATCGTTACTTTCCACAGCTCGCGTGCGTTCTCTTATTAATGGAAGCGTGTGTAGGCTACATCATCATTCAAAAAGTGCCCTGTACGTCTTTATTCATTCATGCACATAGTAAAATCAAGTCAAACTTATTGATAAAATAATTCCATGTCTAGACACGGAGATCGATTGGTCCACATACATGCAACAAGTTGAGCTCTTTAAGGATGGAGAACGTGATTATATGAATATTCGTGGTGATACTGGCCCACTCGTGTATCCTGCAGGATTCCTCTATGTTTTTTCCTTTCTACACTCTGTCACAAACGATGGACAGAATATCCGACGTGCTCAGTACATTTTCCTAGGATTTTATCTTATCATGATTGCTACAGTGTTGGCTATCTACTATCGTGCGCGTGTACTGCCTCCATGGGCCACCGTCTTTTTATGCGTGTCAAAGCGTCTGCACTCGATCTTTATGCTACGGATGTTCAATGATGGCGTGGCTATGATGCTGCTGTTTATTGCTGTATATCTCTTTGCACGTCAACGTTGGCGATGGGGCTGTGTGGTCTTTAGTCTTGCAGTGTCGATCAAGATGAACGTTTTACTGTTTGCACCGGCGCTGTTCTTCCTGTTGCTGCAGTCGTGTGGTATTCTACGCACAGCTTGGTATTTATTCATTTGCGCTGCTATCCAGATTGTATTGGGTTACCCGTTCCTCAAGCACAACTGGTCGAGCTACTTGAACAAGGCTTTCGAGCTTAATCGCGTATTTGAGTTCAAGTGGACGGTGAATTGGAGATTCCTTGATGAAGAGACGTTCGTGTCAGGTGGATTCGCATTATTGTTGCTGTTGGGTCACGTGTTCTTTATGGTGCTTCTCCTAGACAAACACTTTAACATCATGGGCACCATCCGTGCCGTGATGATGAAGCCGTTCGTTATTTTTGAACCGTTCCCGATCCAGAGCGAGATCGTTGTGACGTCGCTATTCGTGATGAACTTTGTGGGAATTGTCTTCTCGCGCACACTGCACTACCAGTTCTATTCATGGTACTACCCGACACTGCCATACCTGTTGTGGTGTTCTGATTTGCCTCTGCTGCTAAAAATGTCGGCGCTATTGAATAACGAGTACGCCTTCAACACGTTCCCGTCGACTACAATGAGTTCAATCATGCTGCAGCTTTCGAACCTGTTCCTGCTTATTACGCTATACCTGAACCAAAAGTCCAACTCGTTCGTGCCGTACCTGGATGCGGAGGCCCGGATGAATCTTATCGCTTTCGTGAACGAGGAGTGTTTCGACGGGGCGCGTCAGCTCGCGTTGTACTACGGTAGCGTGACGGAGGATCTGGCCGAAGGTGCCACCGTGTCTTCCATTGACGAGCACGAGGTGGTGTTGTCGCTACCCAAGATGAAGCTGACACTTGCAGTTGGCTTTGGCAGCAGCGGTCCCGTGACGGGTGAGGGCTATGGTCGTCAAGTACTCAAGGGCATGCTGAATGAAGCTGGCGAGGGCATCAAGGCTGGTAATAACATGGGTAAGCTCATTAGCCGCGAGTACATGAAGGATAAGGAGCTCAAGAATTTTGTAGACTCGTTAGATGAAGAGCAGCAGGATATCAGCAACAAGTCGCTACGTCAGCGTACAACCGTTAAGACGGTGACGTCGACGACGTCGACAAACGTTTAAACGAAGACCCCTATGAATTCAATTTTCGTGTGGTTACACAAACTTGTGATAATTATTATCGAATTGTAAGTGCCAACCATTCGTCACAAAATATGACGGTAGCATTGGCATTTGAGAGTGACGATGGCTCGCGAGCCATCGAGATGCAAGTGCAGGTACAAGAAACCGATGGAATACGTGTACAAGACTGTGATGTGCTGGAGTACTTTGAGATTACACGCATCGTAGAGCAGATCCGTCGTGGTGGCTATAAGAAAATTGCTTTGCAGTTCCCAGACTCATTGCTGCCGGATGCATCGCAAGTTCAGCAGGAACTGAAAAACAGACTGGTTGGCCAATGGGAGCGTATATTTGTGCTTGGTGATACGTCGTACGGAAGCTGTTGTGTGGATGAAGTGGCGGCGCAGCACCTTGTGGCGGATTGCATCGTGCACTTTGGTCGTACGTGTCTGAGGTGGGCTGGACACAGATGAATGGGGTGTGAGTGGTGACTCATCATTAGTTTCTTGTGTGTGATGCAGCGCTACGACTAAAATTCCAGTGATTTACGTGTTTGGCAAGGCGCCGATATCAGTCGAGGACTGTGTCCAGCAGTTGAGTGAACGGATTGTTGGTATGGAGCCGACAAAGACACTTGTGCTACTTTATGAGCCTCGCTATCATCATGCTAGTGCTACTGTGCTGAAAAGTTTAAAGAAGAAATTTAGTGAACGGAAGCTGCTGTTCGGGACAATGAAGACGTTTTATGATCCAACCGAGAAAGTGAAGGCGGCAACTGCTGACGATAACTTTTTGGTGCTTCAAATTGGTGGACAGGAAGTTATAGTGGAGTCCATAAATGATGAGATCACCCCCGAAACGTTTGCGTTGCTGTACATTGGAGCAGAATCGGCTCACCTTACCAGTATTCTAATGCGGTACAGCACCGTGGACTGCTTCTCGTACAACCCAGAGATAAGGTCAACTCGCAAGGAGGGTGCGACTGTTAATCGTGCGCTAATGAGACGGTAGGTGTTACTATTGAAGCTATCGTAGGTATGAGAATACTCATATTTTCACTGTGATGCTGCGGTTCGTAGCTTTTTCCTTGTTCAGCAAGCCAAGGAAGCACAAATTTATGGTATTCTGATGGGCACGCTTGGTGTTAACCAATACCTTGACGTTGTGCATGGTCTTCAGAAGCTGATTAAAACGTAAGATCTCGGGTAGAAAGGTGTTTAGGAGGAGGAGCTGGTGAATCAACTAACGCTACTGCTTTTCGGTGCCTTTTCAGGAGCGGACGTAAGTCGTACCTCTTCGTAGTGGGCAAAGTTAACGTGCCCAAACTTGCAAACTACGCAGAGATCGACGCTTTCGTGCTCGTGGCATGCCAGCAGAATACATTAATGGATAGCAAGGAATTTTACAAGCCTATCGTAACCCCGTATGAGCTTCAACTCGCGTTGTCGCCGACAGATCAATGGGATGGCCAATACAAGACAGACTTTTGCGAGGTGATACCTGCGATCGAGAGCACTACACAGAGTGTGGAGCAGGGACCTGATGGTGGTGAGGATGACGACGCTGACAAACCTTTTTTCTCGCTAGTGTCGGGAACATACAAGACCTCTTCGCGCTCGATAGCAATCAATCATGAGGCTACACTCTATGCCATCACGGCTTCCGAGGAGCCTGACGTATCTACTACGTTGCAGGTTAAAAATGAGCATACGGAGCTTACGAAATACCATAGTGAGGCTGCTGATTACTTAGCTACGAGAGAGTATCAAGGATTAGACCCAAGAATTGGCAAGACGCCTGCACATGCTGCCGTTAAAGGCAGCACAGGCATTGCGAGGGGATACACTCATGAAATTGGATAGAGGGCAAGTATGCTAATAATTAATTCGTGTCATGTGGAATTTTAATTGTTAATTACTATGGGGTTATTTGTTTTTCACGCAACATGAAATAAAGGTATCACTTTTGGCATAGCGTTATAGAAAATTTCTAATCTGGCCGCGAGAGTCGTGCGAAGTGTGGGTAAAGTTACTTTTTATCTATAATCCGGATTTTTTATTTATCGTAGCAAAATAGTCACCATGAGCGACGGCATCACTGCATCTCGGGCTGAAATCATGGAGAGTACGTTACTCTATTACTACAACCTTCACCTCTATCTTCTTGTTAATATCTTTCCCGTTTTTCCATTGTTTCTGTAGCCGTCTACGAGCTCTCCCGCTTGCTCAATACGGGTCTGGACCGCGACACGTTAGCGATTCTCATGGCACTTATTCAAAAAGGTGTAAACCCCGAGGCATTGGCTACAGTTGTAAAAGACCTTCGGAAAGAAGCAGCAGCAGCAGCAAAACAACAACAACAACAGATGGAAACTCCACGTGAACGGACGACTTTTACTGGTAGCAAACAGCCTTTGTCGACCCAGGAATTCCAGGTCAGTCAGGTGTGTTGATAGAAATAGAAACGAGCTGACTGCCGTTCTCTCTATTGGTCTTAAGTAACTAATTGGCTGACGGCTTTTTTGTCTACTTTTGCTACCAACTTATAGAAGAAACGCCGTTCAGATTACTAGCTGACTTCCTAGTCGTGATATCGTCCCCTTTTCTATTTGATATTTGCTATTGAATGTCGTACCAACTGCTCTTGTCTTCAATGTGCCACCCAGAACACTTTCTTATGTATAGTCACAAGTCTCTTATTCGTATTGCAAAGCGTGGATGCTGGTTGTTAGTTCCGTGTGACACGGTGCATCTCAACGAAGAGAATGCGACCTTCCACAATGAGAGCGATAGCAAGAAAGATACAGGTCATAATAGGACGAAGCACCGGGTTCTGAAACCAATCAGTCCGACCGATCATGTAGAGGAACTGGAGCTGCGTCAAAACCAACAGCGGAAGCTTCTTTACACACCACCAGACGCCACCCAATAAGAGCTCTGATGTGGCAGGCACTTCGTCTTTCTTCCACTGCGCGGTACGCAACGTGTGCGCCACCGCAAATACCAGCAGCAGCGTGGTTAGCATCAGATCGTGTACAATAAGACACAGCTTGCCTGCGTAGCTAGGTTGCATAGTGATAGGGATCATGTAAATGCTGCACAGGGTGAGCAGTGCGACGATACAGACGCTCGACACCAGTGGCATGGATGCAACAACATACAACACGCTGCATGAAAACTGACAGGCTTGGCGTACCATTCGCGAATTGAACACATCTATTGTTATCGGCTGTGCGTTGCCAGGAGTAGGCAAACCCAAACTCGATAAACGTCGCTGACGTCCATCAGGCTCGGTAACCAACTTCAGACAGAGCGAAACATAGGCAAGCCAGATAAAAGTAAAAATCACCAAGAAAGAAATCACCTTGCCTAGAAAGAAGCCAAAGTGGTCTTCTCCAAGGCGGTCGCGCACATCCTGCCAGTACCAAAACACCTGGAAATACGTGTACGGCAGCCAGAACCAAGGCTTTAACGTAGCACCACTATACTTGTAACTTAGCAATGGTCCAGGAATCTCCCCTGTAGCCAAATTTTTGTCCTCACATTTGTACAGGTCCCAGTTCATACGTTCATAAAAGACCATGTGATTGATACTGTAGTAGAATGGCAAGCGGTGGACAAGGACGACAGAATTGTCCACAGCTTCCTCTGTATTATCGCCACTATCTAATTCATCACTTTCTTCTTCATTTTCGTCGCCATCCCATTCAAGAAAAAACAGTGGACTTTCCTCAAAGGCCTCAAAAAGGCCAGGCATAAAGCCCTGGGTGATACCAATGTAATTGTACTCACGACCCGTGATCATAAAGCCATCAATTGCATCTGAGTACAAGTTTCGTACTGCAATACTGTCTGGAGATATAACGAGCAGTCCATTAGAATATACGACCGACTGGCCGTTATCCACGGCACAAAATTGATGGCAGGCAAAAATCTCGTCCAAGTTGCGTAACACCAGGTTCTCTGGGTCCAAATACACCACACGCTGAAGCGATGAAATCTGTGGATCGTCCCAGATCACTAATTTGTTCCGCATGTGCATCAGTTGCGTCCGGTGGTCGGTAAGTGGCATATGTGCAAACACGTTGGGGATAGAAGTGTGTACGATCTCCACGTCTGCATCGTCTCCCTTGAGAGCCTTCTCACTACTTTCCTGTAGTCCGTCCTGTGGCACAATCACCATGCGTCTGTACTTGGTATTGGAGTCTTTAATACTGCGCATAAGCACACGTGTAGCCAGCAACAGCGCTTCGCTATCTTCTCCGTAATCGTACATGATGGTAACAAACGCGCCTTCATTGGGTTCAACGATACTTTCCGACGATAATGTTGCGGATTTCTTTGTCTTTAACGTTACGGATTGATCTGATATGCAAGATACAATGAAAGTGGTAATGAACAGGAAGAAAAACAGCTTTTGTTGTCGTACATCATGAGTGGACGACGGCATTGTAAAGAATTGACTAGCGAGCAGCTCCTTTGCCCATGATAAGTCATGTGGGCCACGTATGTACGACCTTCGCAAAACAATTGACAGCCTTGTTAAACGGAATAATATATGTACGAATATATTTGTTCGATCGAATGGAATTCTCAGACTTTTCCTCGTCTCTTCCGTGCATGTTCGGCGCACATTGTAGACGACAGACGTCACGCTTACAGTCTACAGCTCCATTTTCTACTAACGCGACACCCCGCCGGCCTTATCTTGCTTGTTTTCTATAATTATGCGCACGGCTTCTCGGGTCTGCGTTGGTTATTATTTCCAGGTCCGTCTAGCGTCATCTATTTGCAAAGGATTCTTCTTCATTTCAACCCATTGCTATTCCTATCGCGGTGGTAAGAGCTGCGAGTGTGGAGGTGGAAACGGAAAACCCAAGTACGAGATAAAACCACCTTTTGTGCTCTGTCCAGTCTGATCCATCGTCACTTCTTCGATACCGCATATCTTTAACAAGCACTTAGTGACAAGGTCGCATCCCACCCGCTAGACGGATATACACATTTGATCACTGCTCAGCACGGCAGCAGTATACACTAACAGTGAGGATGAACCTACAGTATACAGCTAGGATGGCCTCTTCAAACAAGACTGTCAAGTGTTCGCACAAGTTTACGACCCCACTTGATGGTACGCAATTTGAATTAGGCGTGACATTGGGCACTGGATCTTTTGGGCGTGTTCGTTTTGCGACACATAAAGTAAGTGATGCATTCAAACAAAACAAGGAAAATGGGTCAAAGGGACTGACGATGTGGTACTGAATTTGATCTAGGCGACTAACACGTACTGGGCGATTAAGATCCTCAAGAAAGCCGAGATCATTCGACTGCAACAGGTTGAACACATGCTCTCGGAAAAGTTCATCTTGCTATGTCTAGACCACCCGTTTATTGTAAACTTGGCAGGCACATACCAGGACACGAAATACTTGTACATGGTGCTTGAGTATGTAATTGGTGGCGAGTTTTTCACCCATTTACGGAAGGCTGGACGGTTTGACAACAATACGGCAAAGTTTTATGCAGCACAGATTGTGTCAATCTTTGAGTACATGCATAGCCAGAATTTTATTTATCGCGACTTGAAACCCGAAAACTTGCTGCTAGACAACGAGGGCTACATCAAGATCACCGACTTTGGTTTTGCCAAGCGAGTGGTGTTCAAGACGTACACACTTTGTGGAACGCCCGAGTACATTGCACCGGAGGTACTACTCAACAAGGGACACGGCAAAGGTGTGGACTGGTGGACACTTGGGATATTGCTCTTTGAGATGCTTGCAGGTCACCCACCCTTCTGCGACGATGATCCTATGGCGATTTATCAGCAGATTATGTCAGGCAAGATCAATTTTCCGCGTTTCTTTGACCGAAACGCCAAGCGGCTTATCAAACGTATGCTTACAGCTGATCTTACGAAACGATACGGCTGTCTAAAGAACGGTGTCGAGGACATTAAGAAGCACAAGTTCTTTGCCGGTGTCAATTGGGACGACCTGGTAGCCCGCAAAGGTGCAGCACCGATTATCCCACGTGTCTATACAGCCAATGACACATCCAATTTCGATCCGTACCCGGACTCGATGGAGGACGCGGCTGTTCCTGTTTATGACGGCAAGGACCCCTTTGCTGAGTTTTAGACGACACCCCGCCATCACCACGAGCTGAAGAAGGCCGAGGGTGACGATGAAATTATCACTCGTGATGATAATGATGCAGCTGGATCAAGTGATGCGTGCTTCATGCAAAGTAGAAGTGGCGAGCAGAACGAGGCGTCAAGACGAGTGCAAGAAAGAAGATATTATGGTTGACAATGTCATACATTTCTATTTATCACGAAGATGTATCATAAAGATGCAGTGAAAGAGACAAGGGTAGCCCTCATTTGGTCTCACGTACTAGGTCGCTGGCATGTTGGCTTTCGCCCTCACGTCGAGCTTTTATACTGGGCCCGCCGCTCGATCCGTTATCAGCGCCGTCCATACTCACTTTCTGCTTCTTAGTAATATCGTAACATGCATTACTGCCGCGGCATAAGAAAGCACTAGCAGTAGTATTGATCACAAACAGGATGTCATTCAAGTCTTCTCAACTAAACAAAGTCGAGTTGCTTGATTGACCACGAGCTTCTTTTACAACTTGGATTCAGGGAAGAGCATCTTGTCGCCAGGGAAACGGTAGTACGAGGTGTCCTTCTTCATAATGCGTTGCACACGACCCGAATTATCAGGTTCGCGCAAACCAGCAGAAAAGGCGTCCACGACGACCTTGACAGGCAAGAGACCACCCATCATATTGGTGTACTCTGGGACCGCAACATGAGCCTTGCGACCCATATCTGTCTCTGCAAAGCCCGGACACATGCAAAAGCAACGGATATTGTCAGATTTCTTGAGCATGTACAATGAGCGTGTAAAGCCCACAACACCCGCCTTGGCAGCAGCATAATCAGGTCCAAATGGTGCGCTAGTCAGTCCAGCCATACTACCGAGGTTCACAACGACACCTTCTTTGCCATTAAGTGTGCGTTTGAACTCGGCAATGGCGCATTTCGTGCCACGAATGAGTGCAACGAGGTCGATCTCCACGACGGCCTCCCAGGTCGTGCTGTCTGGCTTATAAAACGTCATATCGCCGGCAATACCGGCGTTATTGACCAACACGTTCACAGGTTGTGCAAAGTACGTGCTCGCGTACGCAAAAGCGCACGAGAAACTCTTCTTTTCCGTGACGTTCTGGCGATCCCAGCACACATTGCTCTCACCAAATTGTTGCTGCAATTCCTTGCCTGTAACTTCCAATTCTTGCACATTCACGTCTGTGATCATGACTTTCCCATGTCCAAATAAAATCTCTTCCGCAAAAGCGCGTCCAAAGCCTTGACCACCGCCCGTGACAATTGCAACAACTTCAGAAAGTTCCATTTTTTTAGGTTCAACTGTTATTTGGCAGACGGGATTGCAAAATGAAAAGGTTTTGCGTGCGACTTGACGTCGTGTCCCGTCTCTTGAATGCGATGTAGCATTCTTTTTCACAGATTAAAAATAAATTTTTGTCATAACGATGGATCTTTTGACATGACGACGTGGACAATGTCGCGTCAGAAGTTTTAGTAGAATGTATCTCGCTTATGACCATGGGTATGCAATACGAGCTATGCGATGAATATGGAAGAAAAAAAGACAGGTCAAGAAGGGCTTGTCGAAGGAGTACTGATTTAGTTCCAATAATTCTGACAAATTACAATGAGCAGCAAGTCTTTTTTTTGTTCAGTGGCGTGAATGGAGACGGTTCTTTTTTTTCAGGGATCTCCAAATGGTTTAATTGTCCACACGAATCTGGTGTGGCACCCCCCAGTGCCACATATTTTGTTCGTCTAACAATAATAAATCATGGAGTTCGTCTGGATATTAGCGCTGCTGCTGGTGCTGGCAGGCGCTAGTTATATGTACATACAACATCAACAAGAGGCTAAACGTCAAGCTATAAGGCTTCAGAAAGAGAAGGAGGAGCTTGCTCGTCAACAGCTTCACGCTATGAACAACAAAAAGTCCAAGAGTAAAAGCAAAAAGAAGGTCGATATGACAGCCGAACTTAAGAAGAAGATAAAGGCGGATTTAATGCAAGAAGGAGGAGCGAATGAGCACAAATATATGTTGCATCAAATTAACGGACACAAATATGGTATCACAGCTGTCAGATACAGTCCAAATGGCCGTGTTTTGGCCACCGCTAGCTCCGATCGCTCGATCCGGCTCTATTTCCGTGAAACGCTTACGAACAAGAACCCAAAGCTGCATAAAATTAGTATTGAATACGACCATGTTACAGCCATGAGCTTCAGTTCGGATGGACGGAGTTTGGTGAGTGAGAAAAGTCGCTTTGTACATGGTTTTATTGAGGGATCTGTAATCAACCTGTGACTGTTGCTTTGGTTTAGGTGGTTGCAACGGAGAATGGCACTGTAAAAGTCTATCGTACGTTGCTGTGATGATGTGCATGAGCCATTTGTTGTGTTGATGTTGGTGTTAAATTGATGTGTTGATGTGGTGACAGAAAAACTGCGTGTGAAGCCAGAGATTGTGGCGGATTTTTCTGTCTCGCACAAGACGGATGTGCACTCTGTGCTTTTGAATGATATTGGCAAGGTAAGCGTTGTTTTTATCTGATGCTGTTGATGTAAGAAGGTATGCTCAAATGTAATGACTGGTTTCATTGAGCAGTGGGCAACGATCGTTACGTGCGCGGGTAATTCGGATACCGATATCAAGTTCTGGAACATGAATGGCGAGTTGCTACAAACGGTAAACACGAACCAGGTTGCCAACTACCACTGTGTCGGCTCGAAAGACAATCGATACATTGCAGTTGCAGCGTACACACCGGAGGTCAAGATCTATGAAATTACACGCGAAAAGTCGGGCGGATTCAAGAAGGTTAACAAGATCATGACGTTGCAAGGACACAGGGTACGGCAAATGATCGGGCATTGAGCTGGATTGTAGCTTACGCTTTGTTCTGTATCTCATAAATTAGACGGGCGTGATGGATCTTGCCTTTGATGGTTCAGATGTGCTCCCAGTAAAGCGCTTAGTCACGCTTTCCAAGGACGCATCGGTCCGTCTGTGGGATATTAATGGTGCGTTTCGATGGCCGATGCATGTACGCACTGGTATTCAGAGTGATTCTGATCGTATTTGTGGTCGGCCTTGCTGGTCTTACAGTTCGGTACACTGTCCAAGAGGACCCTAAGGTGCTGTCGGCATTTACTGCCAGAGGAGAGAAGCTATTTGAGGCAGTTGATTTTTCGCCTTGTGGAAAAGTACGCACTCTATGCTCTTAAACAGCTCGGGCGCAATATTCATCGTTTGGTTTGTTTATTGATCCTGTAGATGTTGGTCATGGTGCGAGGTAAGGACCTTGTGTTCGTCCGAACCTGCGACAACGAGGAGTTTTACGTCATTCCCAATGCGATTGAAGATTCAATCAAGCGTGCCATGTTCTCGCCGGATGGATCAGAGGTGCTTGTGCTTGGACAAAATTGCAAGCATGCCAAGATATACAAGACGCCAAAGTTTTAGCATCGAGCAAACGCAGCGCTGCACCATCGACGGGACCAAGCGACACAAAAATCAAACGATTACATAGCAGAGGATGTATAGATGCTGACTGCATCTTTTTGCTGTAATTCCAGTGCTTCAAAATAGATTCGTTTAGAGTGCTTCTGCACATCCCCATTCTCTGGACGTAAATCCACGCTGATCGCATTTACTTTGTTGGAAGAATATCCAGCAATTTCCATTTGAGCATATTGATGTTTTCGGTGAGAATGTACTTATCTGACCGGCGAACGACAACTGCCATCCACTCGTGGTTTAGACTTTCGCTTGGCTCGGCGCTCTGCTCACCCTGGTCATTTTTCCAAGACTCGAGCAACTTGTCATCTTCTTCGATCGAGGTTGGAAAAGCCTCCAGCATCTTCTCAAGCGTGTAGATCAAACGCGTAAGCGCTACCTGCTCATTCTCTATACTCACCATCTCCCCATCTAGCGCTCTCTTTGCTAGTGCCTCAAACTCTTCGGCTGTTTCGCAGTCAATCTCCTGGACCCGAGCAGCTATTAAAAGCAAGTCGTTGCTTTCGTCTGCAACAAGTTCAAACGGGTTTGTAGCATGATCCAATCCACTGGTGAGCAGCAAGTGCTCTTTTTCTTCAAAGAGTTTCGTAGACCCTTCGTCCATCGGCAGCCACATCTCCACAGCATCATACTGGTTTCCAATAATCACAAAGCCATACAACGACAGCAGCTTGTGATTCGACAGAGGTCCATAATTAATGAACATCTGCGCACCTGCATTCCAGTGTTGGTAGCTCACAAGCTTGAATCGTTGACTCGCCGTATCGAAAAAGTGGGACATCTCTGCTTCAGGGTCATGGTTCAACATGTCAAACACGGGTACCATCGCCTTGAACGATTGCTTGGCCGTCAAGCCGTTAATACTCTCCATCATCAACGTCCTGTTTTCCTCCATAAGTCCATGTTCTTCCTCTAACAAAGGTAAAGCTTCGTCAAGCCGTAATGACACAAAACGGCTCCAGATCGTCGAGAGCGCCCACTTGTAGTTGTCAAAGGAGAAAAACTCACCAAACTTGTCAAAATCAATGGCTTCCTTGACCTTCTCAAATAACTCCAGCAATACAGATTCTTTGAGTCTCCTATAATCTTCTGCAACTTTTTCTTCCATCTGCTGGGCAATAGAAAACAAATTACTGCCTTGTAATGCCCTAAGTTGGTCCTGCTCAAAGTACAGTACATTATGGTACGTCGTGGGCAGTACTTTAATGTGTGTAAACCACGTAGATTTACTGCCTTGTATATACTTCTCATAAAGCAGAGCAAGTGCCAATTGATCGTCCTCTTGTTCAAGTGTGAGCTGCTGAAAGAATGCCATTCGTTGTAACACCTCGTTCTTCTCAAGACACTTGAATGTAAATGTCGAGTCAAGTGGAATACTAAATACTTCTGTATGTGGCGTCACATCTTCTGCAATGTATACGCCTCTTTCGGTCTCATATCCGTCATCCGGATACTCGTATACAAAATCGGTAATGATCTGCACCTTGAGCCTCTCGGTCGCCCATTCATTGTAACAGATAAACGCATCATAAGGTGTCTCTATTGCATATTTCTCGTCTTCAAGCGCCATAATTCCTTTAACTTCTTCTTCTGCTTTGAACCGTCGCTCTTTCTTCTTGTGTGGCCAGCGCAGATGGCGTGTCAAGCAGCCACCATGAGTGGATGACGTTCTCTTGAACAAAGTATGCTTGGAAACTGGTGTAGAAGTGGTGTACAGAATGCACAAAAAGAGTAATTGTCATTATTTAATGTTGCTAGCAATAACCGGTATTTCATTTGGAGACACCGATATACCGTTTGCTGTAGATATTTCGTGGTTATGCGTCTTTTCTGAAAAAAATTAGGCTGTTTATAAAAAAGGGTGCTTAAAAAAAATAGGCTGTTTCGAGAAATTACATTATGCCCGGTCCCGTTTGACGATTCGAAATTCTCTGTATTTAAAGTAGATTTTTTTCACCAAAAGGCTAGAAATTACGTATCCCCCACGTTAAAACATTCACTTTGACTTTGTCTTCGCCATTCACAAGTCGCACGTTCTTCATGTCGCTCGAAATGGCTGCGATCTCAACGTCTAATTGCAAGAAGACTGACGATTGTTCTGTAAAGATGGAGGCTGTACGTATTCAGGAGCTCTCACTGGCAGGTAATGGCAGTGTTTATAATTCACCCAAGCGCAAGCAGCGACCAGAAAGTGGAACTGTACCCACAGACTTGACGTTGCTCTTGACTGAATTACCGACTAATAAAAGACGTGGTAATAAGCGAATGTTATTGACTTTAGTACCAGATGAAGCACGACGAGGTGGTGAAGTAATAGAAGTCGAGGGGCTGCTAAGGGTCGCGGAACAGATTGATAGAGGACAGACGCAGCAGAATCCAGCAGTATTTCGGACACTCGGATCGGTGAGACATTGTGGTTGTAATTTTTGAAAGATGTGCTACAGACTGGAGCTGACGGATGTGTTGAAATTTGCTGTAGTTCTATTGTGTATTGGTACGGAAGAGTCTGGGGTTGTTTCTAGAGACTGTGTCGAAGGACAGTCCTCACACTATTGTGCTTAATATGGACACCATGGACTTGGTGCATGAACCTTTTGAGAGCGATTGCAATTTTCAATTGCGTTATCGACAAAGCGAACGGAGAGAAAGTGGCAATAGACAATGTGCGTTTTCGTACGTCTTTATGACTTCGACCAAGGAAGAGTGTGACAAGTGGCGCAATGGTATTCTCAGACACCAAGTATCTGACACCGGCAGCGATCAGAAAAGATTTGTGAACAAACCGTTAACAGGTTCTGGATTGATTTCAGGGTCTGTTCCACAGAGTGCCGACTCAAATGCACAAAGTGAGGAGCAGCAGCAGAGACAGCAGACTGAAGGACCTCACGAGCACCCGCAGCCATCCCTTGGAGAGTTTTTGTGCTCTACGCCTTCAAAGACCAAGCACTTCATCATGGTACGTCATGGCCACTACATTAATGCTCACATGCCGCAAGTGTCGGACTCGCAACAAGTCCTCTCGCAGATGGGAAGGCAGCAAGCAGAGCTCACAGGCAAACACCTAGAGGTGGCACACGCCCGGATTCCAACCCGACATGACGTGTCCGTGTATCACAGTGATATGACACGTGCGGTGGAGACAGCAGCTATCATCGCCACTTACTTTGGAGAGGTCTCGTTGAATTCGAGCTCGCTACTGCGGGAAGGGTGGCCAGGAACACCGTATTCCTCTGATTTCACCGCGAGAAGCGGAGTCACTGCTGCATGCAACAACGGTGCATTTCAAGCGATGCAGAAACGAACTAGTGTGGATGTGGAGCGTATGGAGAAGGCGTTTAACTGGTTTTTCTTTGACCCACGCCAAACCCATGATGGAAATGACGAGGAGTCCTATTGCGTACTTGTGTGCCATGCCAACCTGATCAGGTTCTTTTTGTGTCGTGCACTTGGCGTTGATCCTGCAACCACGTGGGGTCATTTCGAAATCAACCACTGTGGCGTCACGCGCATCGACGTGTGCGCCGATCGGCCGATCAAGGTCATTGCAGTAAACGAAACTGGTCATCTACCGCTATCCCTCATCACGTCCAGTGAAGATCATCTATAAGCAGAAATTGAGGAATGCGCGCTTTTATATGTGGATGTGTTAGACCAGCAAAGCCGTAAGTCTCCAGTTGACACACGTTTATGGATGGAATGTACTCACAATGCTAAGCTGAATGTAAATACCGTGTTCTTAAACGGCAGAGTTGCTGACATGGTCAGTGGCTGAGAAATAGTCTTCATTAAGTGCGTCCAGACGTGCAACTTGCTCCGGTGTCAACTTCACATTCACTGCTTCCAGGTTTTCCTTCTGCCTCGCTTCATGCACAGACTTTGGAAGCGTGGTAAAGTTCTTGGCTAAATCCCACGCTATCAGCACTTGTGCTGGCGTAGCCTGCACCTCCTTTGCAATTTCAACAAGCCTTGGGTCTTCAATCTTCTTGACTCTTGCTAAAGGTGAGAAAGCTTGCAGCAAAATGTCATTTTTTCCTGGCAGTATTTGACCAACAGCTTTCTCGTGAGCCACGGATGCAACTCAATCTGATTCACCGCTGGCTTTATCCTCCAAGTCTCTGCCAGTTTGGCCAAATGAGGTATCCCGAAATTAGACACGCCAATGTCACGTAAAATTCCTTCAGTTTGCAGATCCTCGAGAGCTCGCCAAGTGTCGGCCCGTAGCTTGGGGTCAAATGGCTGGTGCAACAGGAACAGGTCAATGTAGTCACACCCAATAAGATCGTTGCTTGAACGTGCACCTTCAATGGCCTTTTCATAACCCCAGTGAACTTCACGTAATTTACTTGTAATAAAAAGCTCTTTACGTGGAATCCCGGAATCCCGAACGGCACGGCCGACGTCAGCTTCGTTTTCATACAAACGTGCAGTATCAATGTGACGGTAGCCCAAACGCAGAGCTGAAAGAACCGCCTTGTACGTTTCTTCACCAGGCATAGCTTTGTATACACCTAATCCTATAAGCGGCATACGTGAGCCGCTAGGCAGCACAACACTCGGAACATTGACGTTCATTTGCAATAGTGAAAATTATTCAAATGGTACATCTACGGTCTTTCTGGAACAGGTTAGTTGGTGTGGCATAACGTTAACTCAGAGTGAAGCGCTTTTCTAAGCCCCTCCACAAACCGATTGTCAAGATTAGACCCGTCCTTTTCATTTTTGACATTAAAAAAAGATCCCGGAATCATCATCTCATAAGAATGTACGTGTCGTTCCTTCTCGCGGCTGCTGCTGTCATCACAACAGCCGCAGCTTTGGCATCGTTGCCAGAACGTCCTATCCGTGGTGGTTACGGCTACACGCGCAGTCCAGATCGTTCCGTGTCGCTTACCTCTCCACGTCCGCATGACGTCCTGGACGTGACAAAGCTGCCAAAGAATTTTGACTGGCGTAACGTCAATGGCACGCGCTATGTGACCATCTCGCGTAATCAGCACATTCCTCACTATTGCGGATCTTGCTGGTCCTTTGGTACGTGTTGAACCCCTCTTAAATTGCTTGTCAAAATTGTATATTTTTGACACCCAGTCTAATTATTGACATCTATTGGTCGTTGTTGTTTTTGACATTTTTGACAAATAACATCTCGATTGGTAGCTGCAACCTCTGCTTTAGCGGATCGTATTTTAATTGCCAAGGGACGTCATCCCCACAATAAATCATCCGTTGATGTACACCGTGAGGTTGTCCTGTCTCCACAAGTGTTGCTGAATTGTGACAAAAAGGACAATGGCTGCCATGGCGGTGATCAATTGGAAGCTTATCGTTACATGAAAGAGAATGGGGTTCCAGAAGAAGGTTGTCAACGATACGAAGCTACAGGACATGATACGGGCAATACGTGCACAGACAGGGACGTGTGTGAGAATTGTCTACCATCTAAAGGCTGCTTCCCACAGAAAACGTACGACAAGTACTATGTGTCAGAGTACGGCACGACACTTGGAGAGCAACAGATGATGGCAGAAATTTATGCTCGTGGACCTATTGCGTGCAGTGTTGCAGTTACAGACGAGTTCCTCAAGTATTCGGGTGGTATTTTTGACGACAAGACGAATGCTACGGATGTGGACCATGCCATTTCTATTGTCGGGTGGGGCGAAGAGAATAATGTGCCGTTCTGGGTCTTACGTAATAGTTGGGGAAGTTTTTGGGGAGAAGATGGATGGATGCGACTTGTACGGGGGGTAAACAATGTTGGTATCGAAGGAGAATGTGCATTTGGTGTGCCTAAAGATGACGGTTGGCCAACTTCTACTACTATTAAAGAAGACGAGGCTCGACAAGAGGAAGAAGACGTAACCAATGACGCCGAAGAGGATCAATCGATGAAGTCGACGCTAGCTGGCTGTCGCCAAAAGCTGCACTTTGCCGGTGGCGAGCGTGTGACCTCGCAGCTGCCTCACGAAACAATGGACCTCAAGGACCTTCCAAAGACTTGGGACTGGCGCGATGTCAATGGCAAGAACTACGTTACGTGGGACAAAAACCAACACATTCCAAAGTATTGCGGGAGCTGCTGGGCTCAGGGCACGACTAGTGCTCTGTCTGATCGCATCTCCATCATGAGAAATGGTACGAATGTGTGATGGTGGATGATTCTGCTTTGAACTAATTGACATCGTGTTTTGCTGAATGTAGCTTCCTGGCCCGAGATTGCATTGTCGCCTCAGGTCCTCATCAATTGCCACGCTGGAGGCACTTGCAATGGTGGTAACCCTGGTTTGGTGTATGAGTATGCACACCGCCATGGTATCCCTGACCAGACGTGCCAAGCCTACCAGGCGACGAACCTCAGATGTGATCAATTTGCAATTTGCGAAACGTAAGTTGTTTGTGGCATATGACATAGTGGTCCACGTGAATCAATAAATAACGTTGTTACGCTGTCCTGATTTAGCTGCTGGCCGTCAAAGGAGTCGTTTACTCCTGGTGTGTGCGAATCGGTTAAAAAGTTCACGAAGTATTACGTTTCCGAGTATGGCTCTGTGAGTGGTGCAGACTATATGAAGGCCGAGATCTACAAGCGTGGCCCCATTGGATGTGGCGTGCACGCAACTAAAAAGTTCGAGGCGTATACGGGCGGCATCTATTCTGAGCACGTCATGTTTCCTTTTATCAACCACGAAATTTCGGTGGCTGGTTGGGGTCATGACGAGGAAACGGACACCGAGTACTGTAAGTATCGACTTCAGCTCTGCTTTTTTTACACAGCTATTGATTTTGTTTGTTTGCGTATGTAGGGATCGGACGGAACTCATGGGGGACGTACTGGGGTGAGAATGGCTGGTTTCGTATTCAAATGCACCATAACAACCTCGGCATCGAACAAGAATGCGACTGGGGTGTGCCGCTACCGGACGGTTCTAAGCCTAAAGACTTTGTCATTTCTATCGACTATCAAGGCAACAAGGAGGCGGGCGGTGCGACGATGCAAGACTTTCTTCACGTGCGTGACGGTGCATATGTTTAAACAACGCGGCTCAGACGATTTAGAAACCAAGAAAGTAACTAAGTGGTCTACGCGTGCTGAGTTGAGTCGTTTCTCGATATGCTTTGGTTACCCATAAACGTAAAAAATGTAAACAATCTTGAAACGACGCGTTGGTTCTGACACGAGTATTGATACTTCGTCTGACTAAGGTATTGGTGGTGTCACTTCTTCACAACATGTGGCTTTGATGCAGAAGATCAAATCTTTTTACAGATGTGTTTAATCATTAGAAAAATAAATGTTTTCCAACCTACATGTTGTGTGGTTTATAATTTACTTATCACCACCCCTTTCTATCTGGCTCAAAAAAAAAAAAAAAAAAAAATGATCGTCTAACATATTTGTTGTTTATGTGAGCCGTCACTGACACAACTTATGTGACGTATGAAGACGTCACACCTTAACGCTGTACAGACAAAATGCTTTTATGATGCAAATTGCATGTTGATGGCTTACTGAATACCATCAACAAAGCTTGCCTCATTGAAAACGATGCATTAGCATCTTGGAGCTGACTTCATTTCGACATTGTGCCCAGTAGTGCGGCATGACTCTTTTCGCAAGGGGTTCTCTGTGCTCACATCTTGCTGACAAAGAATTTCCTTATCGGCATGCCGAATGTACTTATCATTGCATGAAAGTAGGAGTCTAGTGGCGTGTCGAGCCGAAAATGAAGAGCTTTTTTGCTTGTTTTCATTCAAGCGAACTGATGCCGCCTAATTAGTAATGGCATGACTCTGTTGTGCAAAGTCAACATCACGAACACGTATGGCGATGCTCTTGGTTCTCCACTCGCCCAACTTTGTTTTCCCGTGGCTCTTGCACCTTTCCAGGTCGAAATCCTTGACCACTCAAGCTTACTCTAAGCAAGCAATATAGATAACTCAATGCATATACCGCATCATCATCAGGTTACGGGAAAATGCAATCGGAGAGCTTTGCGTCTATGACTAATGTAGAAAAGATGGCAACACTGGCTGCCTTTCGGAAGATGTTTCTCGATATTCTTTGGTTAGCAAGAATCGTAATAATGCAAACCATTCTCAAACGACGTGTTGGTTCCTACTAAAAGATGTCACTTCTCAAAAAAGATGGTAGCTCTTGATGAAGTAAGCGATCAATGTCACTTGTTCACCGATGTGTTTGATCGTCTAGTGCAGTTGATTTTGGCATTCATTGCTGTCTTTGTCCTGTACATTAAGCGTAAACTCGAGTTACCCATACGTCCCATGAAAGTATGGGTGCTTGACGTAAGCAAACAGTCTCTGGGTGCGCTGTACATTCACTGTATCAGCATTATCTTGTCCATTGAGACAGTCGCTTCTACTTCCACAGTCTACGACGAGGTACGACAAGTCGTTCTAGTGCACCGAAGTAAATGGCTCGTCTAACATGGTGGGGTGTGAGCAGTGTGGCATTTACTTCGTGAACTACGTCATTGACACGACATGGGGAGGTTTCATCATGATTGTGTTTCTAAAAGGAATCAACAAGGTAGCTGCACGGTTCGGTGTCGTGAGTATTGCCCATTGTGGAGATTATGGTGACCCACCGCGACTGCAGATCTGGTGGACTCAATTCTTTGTGTACCTCGTTGCACTCACGCTCATGAAAGTACATAACGTGCTTATCATCTGGGTCTTTTTCACCGACATCGCGTACTTTTCCACTAACCTCTTCTCAGCTTTCGAGGACTATCGACACTTGGAGCTATCTATCGTTATGCTTGTCGTGCCCGGTTGTTGTAACGCAGCGCAGTTTTGGATCATAGATTCTTACTTGAAGATCGAGAGCAATCAGCTTCAACTTCTGGGCTCACGTGTAGATGACAGTGAAAAGCTGTGCATAGGACAAAAAGCTGTTGCATGCTTCTCTCAGCCACCGCTTTTCCAAGGTGAAGAGTCTGTCAAGAGCGTGATTCTTCTTTAGGTGGTGAGCTTATTCATGATTCTCCCGCTCATGTTTTGTTGTCAGTTTTGATGGCCTTCATTCAAGCTGAAGCTGTGCTTTTCACTGTTCAACAAGCTCGTCTAATGCCAAAGCCGGTCGATGAGTGGCAGTAGATCCTGGCGCGAAACCGTTCTGGACAAGTCAGCTGTCACTGAGCTCATTTTTGCTGCTCCAAGCGTGCGCTGCCGCGCTAAATAAAAAGTCAAAAGCAGCTTAGCCATCACTTTTTCCAGAGCGTAATGTCCATTGCCATGCGCTGCAAATGAATAAAACATACCGTCTTCTCATCAAGTATTCACTCGAATTCTTCTTGATGACGATTGTAACATCCTATCAACCCTGTAGCGCAGCAAACAGCTCGTCACGCCAGCTCAGTAAGTGCCATCATTAGTGCAGGATAGCTAATATTTTTGTCTTCTTTGCTCTCGTCACTTGTCAAATTCATTGCACGAGTGGTCTTCTTTAAGCGTCGACTGCACCACGGTATTACAATGTTTTCTTACAATGGCAGAATGCTCAAACAACAAACGAATCAGTTCATACCATGACAAGGAAAGTAAGAGCGCACTCCTTATAAATCTATTTGTTTTGGCGTAACCGCATATCTCAATGCGTGCACTTGTTAGCATCCCTTCAAAGTAAGAGACATCTTGATGTTCATTGCGGCCAACTCGTTGGCTAGGTACCGGAAGACATAAGGCATGGCGACGGGCTGGCAACTTTCGCCCGTTTGGCAAACTGTACAGTACCATTGGGTCTTGGACTTCATGGCGATAGCGATCTCTCCCTGACCGGCAGTCTCGACCGTCGAGCGTTGTGTGGCGTTCGACAACAGACTGCCACAGTTGGTGCACACGGTGGCAATGTGCTTGTCGGAACAGTTCATTAGACGATCCTGCAGCAGGAAAGCACAACCGTGCGCAAGCATCGAATCGCGCTCCATCTCTCCAAAACGGATACCTCCACCCTTTTTACGGCCCTTCACTGGCTGGCGAGTGAGCGAGTTCATCGGACCCGTAGCGCGCACCTGACTTTTGTCGCTAACCATGTGGCGCAAACGCTGATAATACACAACACCAATGTAGATGTCCGCCTGCATAACTGTACCGGAAATACCCGAGTACAGCGGCTCGCTGCCCATGTAGTTGTAGCCGTGCTCCTTCAGCTGCGATCCAAAATAGTTGATCACGCGGTCTTTTTCACTAAACTGGAATGGTGTCGAGTCCATGTACTTGCCCTTCAAAGCACCCGTCTTGGCGGCCATGGACTCGATAAGCATACCGATGGTCATACGAGATGGAAAAGCGTGCGGGTTTATGATAATATCCGGGGACATACCAGACTCCGAAAACGGCATATCGGCCTGAGGCCACAGAATACTCATGACACCCTTCTGTCCGTGGCGCGACGAAAACTTGTCACCGATCGTCGGATTACGGCAGAATCGCAACTTTATGCTAGCCTTGGTAAATTCGGACGCCTGAGATGAGCTACCAATCATATTGACCTGCTCAATGATTGCCGGTTCACTCTCTTTATGCTTTTGGAATGAAGGTAGCCCGGTAGTCTCATCAATCCAGCTAGAAATTGGGTCGCCGTAATTCACGACCTGGCCAATATGCGGGAAGCCATCGCGGTCTAGCTTCGTGGAGCAGAATTCACCGCTGCCATCGGCCTTGATGTTGGAGAAGTACTTCTTTGACGTCGCACTGCCCTGCTTGCCGCTGGAGCCAATATCTACAGTCAGCTGTTTATATACTGACGCGTGAGCAAAACCACGCTCGTATGAAGACTTGTTTAATATCATAGCATCCTCCATATCGAAACCAGTGTATGAAATCACGGCCACCACAGCGTTGGTGCCCAAGGGATACTCATCTAGCTGGTACTTACGCAATCGTTCATTCTGTACGATAGGAACCTGAGGGGACTGGATACGGTACATCTTATTGTCCGAACGGTACACAATTGAGTGGGCAGGCGTACCCATGGTCTGCTTTGCCATCTGGCACTGGTACATGTTACGAGGAGACTGGTTATAGTCAGAGAACGGAGTCAGGGACGCCACAAGGGACAGCATGTTTGTAGGTTTGATCTCCATATGAGTCGTAGCTGGCCGGACGTCATCCTTAGTGCACGCGATGTCCATAAACACTTGCTCCATGGGCCCAATGTACTCGATGCGTTTGGTGTCCATCTGCATCACTGGACGCGACATACGTGCAGCGTCGGCCGACAAGAACAATCCTGGAAAGGGTCCACCACGAGTAGGCAGAATAAGACACACCTCAAGGTTTGGTACAATGCCATTAGCATCTCGTTCGTCAGAGCTCTCTGCTGACTTAATCTTGCGCAAAATACTTGCGATACGCGTGCAAACCTCCGCAGGTGCACCACCTACTACCTTACCGTTCATCATCACAGGCAGGTAGGAGTATGGCACGATCAAAGCACCATCAGCATAACCTGAGGTGGAGATCATTCCAAGACTTGCCAAGAAGCGGGACAAATTGACTTCCTGCTGAAGAAAATCATCTGCCTTGAACGCTGGGTGACACACAAGTTGACACTCTACCGCCAAATGGTTCAATAGACCACACGGAGATCCATCTGGGGTGTGCACGGGGCAAAGGAAACCCCAGGAGTCGGGCAGCAGCTTCCGCACAGCTGTCGTCTTCATTTCCGTGAAAAACTGACCACGATGCACGGAGCGGAAATGCGAAAAGTAACGGTAGTAGTTCAACTTCTCAGCGACGATCGTGTAGCCCGCAATCTGCAGCAGATCGAGACCACTAGTTGAGCGCAGGTTGCCTGTGTTAAGGAAATAGGTCATTGCATTACCAATGTTGGGAGTACGATCCCACATTTTGCGCAGAAAGACCTGGTCCATTACGACGCTCTTCTTTTTATTTTGCGTCTCTTTCAAAATGTTTGCACGCATTGCCACGAGCGATTCCTGTAGCTTTTCCTTCATGATCATCAAATATAGGTGCCCAGGAAGCAACAGTTCGTGGTTCATGACAGAATCCGAGTTGTCCTCAGGAATGTCACCTTTCGCAAATGCGTACAGCTTACGCAGCATCAGACACAACAGCTCCACCTTCTGTGTGCGTCCCTTCTCGCCCTTCGGGATGTGCACAAACAGGAATTCGTCGAGAAGTTTGCTGCCAACTTCTACATTGCTTACGTTGTCGTATACATACGGCATCGCAAAACGAAAGTGTTTTCCCAGATACGCGAGCGCTTCATCACGCGAATACAGCGAGAACTTCTTAGCTTCGCGCAAGATCAGCTCTACACGTGCAGATAGGTACGTATTCTCATGATCTCCACGCAACACACGTTCATATATTTCACGGTCCGTAAGTGGGTACAGTGCCTTCAGCACGAGACCTACCGGGATCATAAATTCCTGTTTCTTGACTCCAAAACGCACAGTAGCGTTACCATCCTGCAAGTAGTGCACAGTGACCGTCACAGCAGCCTGGTCGCGCTTAACACACTTCATGAAAACTGCCAGTTCCGTGTACAAGTCGCCACGATTGGCAAAAGCACCACGACGCACTGCCATGATATGGTGACGACGTGGCATCTGCAGTAGACGGACGCAACGTTCATTGCCGTTACAGATAAAGTAGCCGCCCATCTCATTGGCTTCTTCTCGAGCTTTTACGAGCTCAGATGGCGTCATGCCATTCAAATGGCAGCGTTTTGAGCGCACCATGATTGGAATCTCACCCACTACACGCTGAAGACGCTCAACGTTGTGTGAACCACCAAAGGATCGCGCCAATGTCACGACCAGTGGTGCTGTATAGGAGACACCTCGCTGACGACATTCACTGGGCAGAAGCTTTTGCTCGCCAGTAATTTGATTCTCTGTTGTAGGGTAGCCAATCTGTGCATTTTCAATCCATAGATCCATGCGATGTTGATTCGGCAGCTCCACAGGTACTTTGCAAATATCAGCAACAGCCAAATCCAGACCTTCAGTGAGGAAGAAGTTGAACGAGTCCAAGTGCGGTGTTACAAGTTGTTGCAGGTTCTCGTTGCTATCATGGTTCATAAGAATAAAAGATAAAATGTAACAGGTTTCAATGACATTGGGCAAGAGTGATGATCAAGTTGTTAATGGTGCACGTACGTTTTTGCAGGCACGGAGCGTGAACAGGACGACGGATTTGTGGACGGCCATTCACTGACATAGGTCTTTATCTTGGACTTTTTCTTTTGCAAATTCTTATCACCCGTCATGACAGCCATTTACCGAGAAGATAATACTAGGAGATGCAGCGGAACGACAGCACTGGACGATGCGGAAGTGCACGCACGAATGGTGGTCAAGTGGCAGCCAGCCAACATGAAAAACCTCGAAAAACCTCGATTTGTGGCTCCAGAGTATTTTGTATTATTCGTTTATAACAGGTTAATTTGGATTAACAGGTTGATTTGCCAGTGTATATGGAAATGACTGCTATCAAGTTTGGAAAGAATATTACTTTTGATTTACCATCTTTTCTAATGACAGAGTGATGATCCTAAAGTTGACTTTCGTAAAGGTGACACGCCAACTGGGTATTAAGTTATTCGACGTTTGGAAAGGGTATGCCATAGTTCATGTAAATGTTTTACCTGTCGCGGCAGGTAAAACTTTATTTTTACGTGAACTTTGGCTTTTTTGGGCTTTCACGACGACACTTTGCGCTTTCACAGTCTAATCCTGAAGCTTTTTATGTGCGGTGACAATTGACCTGGGTCTAAACTTCCTTAATTTGTTAAACATCATGAAAGACGTCGTGTGGTGGTAGCTGTCTGCGAAAACGTAGACACTGACGGGAAGCAAGTTGGCTTGCTTCGTGCAAAACGAAGAGGGTGATGTCGAAGGAAAAAAGTCTTTTGATGCTGAGGCAGACTATGACAAATGCCGTCATTGCGTACGCAAATATCAAGAGCAGTCAATTGATGGCAATCTATATGATGAAAACGAAGCCAATGTCAGATTAAGACAAGAAAGGCATAAGCCGATCATTAGAAGCTCATGCAAAAGAGGAGTCTTTACTCCCTATCGACGGAGATCGACAAAATTGGAAGTCTTAGGTCATCGGATCATCGTCAAGGAGCAATATTTGATCTAATAGAACAGGCGCTATGTGGCCATCGATGTTGTGTCATCAAACGTCAAGTCACAGACCGCCAATTTTGTGGTCGAAATAGTCATATTTTCTACTTCGTCCATCAAAGCGTCTCAAATTTTTCGATGTCTTTTGTGATTGATTGATACGTGCAGACGTATGACGCCTCACGCCTGGGATTTAATTGTTATGTAGCCACGATATGGTCGTGTTTTTTGGTCAGCATCTTGCTGTACTTTTCGCGTCGAAGAACTCGCAGCGAGTCTAGTTGAAACTACCGGCCATAAATATGGCCATGAAAGCTATTGCAAATCTAGTTCGCGAATATTTCCAAATTATACAACGTCCCTTTATTTCTTGTTCTTAAGCACAACTGAGTCACCAGAATACTGCTGACTCTATGTCGCTGAATGGATACGCTTTAGCATGCAAGATGTGTTTTCGACTGAACTACCACCAGCAATATCTGCAGTTAGAAACCTACTCTTCACTTCCCATTAATCTCGGCATAGTGAGCGAACCAGCCTCACTGATCCCTGACATCCAGCTCCGGTTTTGAATTGGAACGGACAGAACACGTTCAAGGGGAGTTTGCTTTGTGGGACTGGCATTCGCGCTTGGCGAACGGTCGGCGACTAAGAGACGGAACGGAGAAGAGCAGGGACTTGTTGATGCCTAGGTAGACCGTGTTCAATGCTTTGTTGACGTGCCCCATATTTCAAGACTACGTGCCTATTGCTCCTCGTCAAGTTCGCACGCTGCACTACCTCACGTGATGCACACAGCGAAGGGAAGGCCCTCTCTTCCTCAACCTTGGCCCCATATTGGTAGACTTCCCGCCTATGGCAAGAGGACCAGTATGCCGGCTCTTTTGAGGCCTTCGTCGTTTGGCCGTTACGCTCAAATTGACGAATTTCGAAGTTGCTACATCATTTTGCAATCGTACTATTCTTCATCGAGAATGTCAAGTATTGCTTCGTGTCGATTGTATCCTGACGATTCAATCGTAGCCCCGCGTCATATTGTTTTTCATTCACAATTTATCTACCTTTCGACCATACGACGAATAAAAGACTACACATTCAGTCCATTGTTCCGCACTTGAAGGGTATTTCACCTAAAACGATTATAAAAAGAGCTCTCCTTCTGTTTTTATTTAATTCACCATCATTCCTTAACTGGCACAAATGGAGTACGGTCGACTTGTGGTGCTCGGTTATAGCAGCTACCGCGTCGACATGGTCCAGCGTCGTCGCAGTGGTAGTTTAGAGCTATCATCACCGTCATTTGGACTCGCAGACGCTGCTCCATTGGACACTACAGCGCTCTCCACTTCCGCTTCAGCGTCTTCGATTAGTCACAAACGGTCACACTGGAAGCCGTTGGGCGATCAAAATGCGCACTTTGTGCTTGAAAAACGCACACGGGCCAATGGTGTTCGTCTGCATCGTTTTCATCATGTTGTCCCGGTCATTGAGCTTCAGAAAATGCGGAAAGGGGTTTGTAGAGACGTCAAGAGCACGACATCACGTATTATGCAACGGATTGAGACGTTAAAAAGTCGTGAAATTGACGAGAAACACCTGGAAAAAGACGGAAAGTCGTCTTTTGTGCCATACCAAATGTGCATCCCAATGAACGACAAGGAACCATTTGCTAGTGTCACGGAATTTCATGAAGATTCGAGTGTCGATATGTTCCAGATCGGTCGTATGCCTTGTCGCCAGAATGATTTTGTGATTCCAGGACCAAGAGTGGGAGCTTCTGGGACTATTTCGAGATATGCAGCAAGGATTGTGTGCTCACGTGAACCGCCATTCGAGTGTCGTCTTTTTGCTGGAGGGTTTGATGCTGCTCGACGTATGAGCACGGCAGGACATGCACTGAAATACTGTACACGGTGTGGGATGTGGTCGAAATGTATAGGGACCGATCATACGTGTGTGATGCAGACGGTGATGGAAAAGATGAGTGAAGCTACGAGTGACCGAGACTTGTTAAGCTGCAAGAAGAATAGTGATAACCGAATAAAGGATGGTCATGTGATGCATTACATTGACGACACGAGAGAAGATGGACCACTCGAGCATTTGGAATTGGGTGTACGCGATCCAAGTGAACTACCACTGGACGGACTCACGAAAAATGGGGTGCGGGTGTGGCTTCCCGAACAAAAGCAGTGGTTCGAGGTATCAGTGAATGGCAGTCTGTTCTCGATTGAATCGCGTGCGATGGATGAGAAGGTCCAGTCATCCAGCTCTAGTTCAAATGGCAATGATCGCCGTCGCCATCACGATCGAGCACTGCGATCCCGCAGTGGTGCTTTTAACCGTCCAACTGGCAGCATAGAAAATCTGGCTCCGATATTGACTGACGGCGCTATCATTGACCTGGGTGGCGTCCAACTGCAATTCCAGACCAGCTACAAGTCGGTGCTCAAAGCAAAGACAGAGAATAGCGAACGCTTTGACACGCCCGTTGTCTACGGTCGGGTGACGCTGTCCTCGATCAGCACGCAGCTTGAGCGGCTTAATGTCCAGTGTCCCGTTCGACTAGACACGCTGCGTTTTACTGCTGCGGCTCCGGGTGAAGAGATTCCGCTAAACGAGATTCCCTATGTGTTTCCAGCGTGTGGGCACGTGTTCGGGTATGATAAGCGGATAGCCAGTTCGCACACATGTCCTTTATGTAGGACGTCAGGATCACTGGTGCAGCTGCTGCTTAAAGAGAACTCGCAATTGCAGTCCGCGGAAGAACAGCACGCAATTCCTGAGTGCGTATTTAATCCGTGCGGGCACACGATTAGCAGCAAACTCGCACATCACTACTCAGCGCTGTTGATGCCCAATGGCCGGGCAATCTGCCCGTTCTGCGCAATGCACCTTGATCTGCGCGTGCCATTCTCGAGACTCTACCTTTATTGCGACTCTGAATGAATAATAAATACAGCGTACGTCGATGATAGCACTAATATGGAGAACAAAACAAATGCAGTATATGAATGCAAGAAGAGTCAGCGCATGAAATACGAAAAGTGCACCGGCGATCTAAACAGTACATGGAGTGAACGCAACTTTAGTGTATGCCGAAGGGCGAAATGTATACATATGATGGCGAATCGTATACTGTATGTATCAGTATTTTTTGGGGCGTTCGTGGCGGCCAGCGTTAAGAAAACAGCCCCATTCGAGCGCACCTACTTTTGTCAATTTTCGACGCATCACCTATTTTTTGTGCATTTTGGACCAAATCTCGACGAGTTCCTCGCCCCACAATTTGTATCAAGACAAGAAAATGCTGCGCTCTCACGTCACGAAGGTCGCTAAATCGCGTCGTTTTGTTCGTCGCTTCACATCCGAAGCAAAGGAAGAAATTGAAAAGAAAGTGGCGCCTACGCCTGCTCCTGTTGTTGTGAAGAAAGGCGGCAGTTCATTCATGCAGCGTATCGTGTCATTCGGTGTTGGTGTGGCCGTGGGCGCTGGTTACGGTCTCTACGTGCTGACGGAGGATGTGGAGCACTCTACGCAGCAGATTCAGAGCTCAGTGGGAAGCCTCAGGGATGAGATGATTGCGCAGAACACGGCACTCACGAAGCGGATCGAAGCACTGGAGAAGAAGAACTGAGAGAAGACGCACAATAATTGTGAAGAAGATCATGCAATAATGGTGAAAGGGTTACACAATAATGGAAAAGATGGTTACACAATAATGGAAAAGATGGTTACACAATAATGGAGAGACTCCTGGTGAGTAGTTGGGGCGGTTCTATCTTCTGTTTTGCTGTGCACTTGAGGTGACAACTCTATTGAAACTGAAGCTGGTTATAAGAGATTCTTTTTTACTTACTATCAATACGGGTGCGCTTTACGAGCTGTTGAAGGTCTGTAGATACGAGGTCGTACACCTTGTCAGCGAGCTGCATTGATGTAAGAGCACTATGCAGTGATTCGACGTCCTTACGGAAGCTCGCGTTCAGCTCTTGCTTCTCTTCAAGCTGTTTTGACAACGTCACGACGCGCTGCTTGTACGTGTGCAGCTCGCGCTGCAGCGAGCAAAAAATTGCAACGTATCGGTCTCTTAATGCTGCTACGTCCATACTCTCTTTGAGCGTGGTGTCTGCCGTGAAGTCCTCGATAGCTTTATCGATACAGCTAGCATCGATCATCTCGGGCATCCGAGCAGCTACGCCCACGTCAACGTTGTTGCTACTTTCATCTCTCTCATGAAGTTCTTCCTTGTCGCAGTTACCTGCACTGCCATTACTTCCTTGGCGACGACACTGGTCTCGCTGCTGCTGTCGTAGGCTCTCTACCTCTTGCCGAACTTTTTCGATACCTGGGAGGGTCTGATCATCGAAGGTTTCCATCGCCTCGATAATCTGCAAATCAGGAATATCCAGGATTGACATTTGCCTTGGCGCGCGCGGCAGAATTTGGTACTGAATACCCATTCTCTGCGCGTTGCTGATCAAAGCTTCAGCATCCGACAGCAAACAATCATCCAAGCCGTCGTCATACTGGCATGCATCACCTCCCAAACCTCCACCCACGCTGCTTGCCAAACTTGATTGCCTATTGCTCGTCAAACTCGGTCGCATGCTGCCTGCGTCTGAAGGCTCGTCCAACTCTTCTAGTACGGTACTCGTAGCAGTGGATTCGGGATGGTCCGTGCTAAAAGAGTTGCTCACCGATTGGTTCCACGGTAGATCGTACACCGGAGCTGGCGGCGGGAGAGGGGCTTCTTGAGTCTGTTGGTCGTAATCAATAGACGGCGTGTACAACCTCAGCATGCAACTCAATCCTAGCAATCCGCCAAAGTTTGCACTGACACCTACTGAAGGCTGCTTCTCGGTTTGTTCTTCCTGTGCGATCGTGCATCGAGCCAGTACTGGCGACAGTCCGCGAGCGACAGCAACGTGGGTCGCCTCGTCAGGAACGGCCATCTTGCAGAAAGCGCGCAGCGTGAGCACAATGATATCTCGCACCGTATTCGACTCGACACGAAGCCGAACGTAGCACCTTTCTGCTAGGTGAAGAAAAAACTCGTTAGATGTGCCGCAAACTATTTCCAGCTACAGATAAAGTAAAAGAAATAGATAGTAGACGTTGTATGATCGACCCATCCACAGACAGCACAACAAAACACATTAAGTCTCCCCACAAAAGGCCCCAACACCAGATAAAACCGTTACCTTGATGTCGGTAGTGTACAGACTCTCGAACGCCGGAATAAGCGACGATTCACATGTCAATCTCAGCCTTCGATCATCAATCAGCAGCGTCCAGCTCTCCTGTAAGTGTCAAGCAGTCATCACCAAACAGCTTGAGACTCTCTTCTTCCATCTGTCTTATCAACATCCACGTCGTACTCTCAGTTCTTCCTCATAAAGATGTTCACTCCCGTCTCGTACTGAGATACTTCTTAGTCCCATAAAGAGGACTGATTTTCTCTCAAGATACATCTCGACCTTGTTTCTGACTTCAGGATCTTCTTTAATAGGTCCATACTCAAGCATCTTGGTCTTCAGCCTGTCTTCGTCTTCTACCATCACTTTTGCCAGTATCCTTGCCCCAATATCATCAGCTGTGGGCGTATAAAACTCATCACAAGCACCTGGAATCACTTGGAAATCGTCCTCTTCTCCCACAGCTCGAAACCACTGCACAGATACCGGATAACAGCAGCAATCGAAGCGTAACGGACGTCCGAGATACGTCAATACATGCATATGTGTGTGGTGCACACCACCTTGCAAAACGCAGTTCTCCAGCACACGTGCGACGCTGCAGGATCCGACGTAGTCACAACGATCGTCGTCATGAACAAAAGCGGGGTTTGCAGCCCCGCTAGGACTTGGCGCCGATACAGATGAGAGTGTAGAGCGAAGTGTGGGTGTGGACGTGACTCTGGAAGACCGTGGGGAGCGCTCGTCTGGTCGTGGAGACGATGAGATGCCGCGCTTGAGCGAATCGACCCATCGACTGCGCATGGTAGACGAGAATAAGGTAAAAAGGTGCGACTATTTTTAGGAGCAAGTTTGAAGCGGAATTGTGACCAATCGAAACGAGGCGTTGTGATCAACTTTTGACAAACACGAATGTAGCTTTGTAGCTATGAATGTTGCACCAATTTATAGATATAAATTATTTAACTCAACATACACTTAAGTGAGCGATTCAGTGTTATTTTTATCATCGGCAAATTGCTCACGGCCTTCAATCTGGTTTGTAACTAGTCTTGAGCATCTATTCGAATCTTGCATTGTTTTATGATTACATGTCAGGCACGACTATGCATGCATTTCCAGATGAATCTCATGGTTAATACCATTATCTTCCTTTTAATTTTGAGATGTCGGGCTCAGTGGAACAAGGCTCGGCATTACAAATCTATAAATTTATGTAGCTACTCACGTTCCTTCTTCATAAAAATAGACTCAAATTCTAGCCTACATGCATGTACGCTTCCTCATGTCCTCATTCATGTGTACGTGTAAAACCATTATGCGGATGAAGTAGAGCATTGAGAGCATGGCTTGGCGAACATGTCCGTATGGACGGGAGCTCTGTGTTATCAATTAGCACCGAGAATGGTCTTTGCATGAAGTGTATACACAACTGGTACGTATACATTGCTCACTCTTGGTAAACAGAGGTGATACGAGCACGGTCACTAATTACGATTAAGACACACGGCTAAATTCTAACTTGTAGCGAAATTCAAGCTAATTTGCTGTTACAAACACCCTAATTTGTCGCTACAAAAGTAGAGCCCTTACTTCAAAAAAGCAAAATCTGTCGTTTTAGACTCGTTATCCTAGCACCAAACCTCTGTTTACCATCGGCTCAATTATGCACCGATGCTTGATGGTGTCATCAGATTTGAACATCGTGGTGCTGTCAGCGTATTCCATTCGCGGCAATTCGTCGACGTTGGTGGTTTTCGGGAACTGATTGGACGATCCACCGTGAAATAGGGCGGACACGCTCGCGCTAAAGACGGTGACAAGCATGAGCCAAATTTGCCACTATAAGATTATAGAGATGCCGCTGCAGTGGGAATGAGGCTGGGTGGACGAATTTGCACATCACTATGATAACGTTGTATTGATTCTTGCAGATGAGCTGGATGCTGTAGCCGGGGCTTGTACGGGCTGTGCGCAATTGTTTCTAAATGGTGACGTACAAAGGCGATGTACCATGTTGCTTTTGCTTATTTGATGGTGAGGAGACACTAGCCAAGCGTTGAATGTTTGAATCTAATGGTGCGTGTACATGTATCACAAGAACGAGCTCATTTTGTCTTTTGCTTTGATTTACGCGATTCGCTACTTATCAGGAAGCGTATCAGCTCATTCGCTACGCTAAGCTCAAGCTACTATTTACAATGGTTTCGATTACTGGCAAGAATGTGCACGACCTGCAGCATCTGTCCGTTGAAAGCATCAAGGATAGCGTGATTAAGGACCCGCATGCAGACAACTATGCTGGAATAAAAACACCTGAAGGCACTGCTGGATCGCTTGAGGGCGGTGCGTTGCGTCCAGGTGGTATGCCCAAGCTGACCAGCCGGGACCACATTGGTCTGCTTTTCCAATATGCCGCCGTCGGTCTCGTCTACGGCATGCTTCCCGAAACGATTTACCCGTTTATGCAGCAGTACCTCAATTGTAGCGGTGCACAGGTTGCCGCTGCCAAGGAGCTGGTCGTTCTTCCGTGGAGTTTCAAGGTTTTCTACGGTATCATATCCGACTGTTATCCTATCTGGGGATACCGCCGTCGTCCGTACATGGCGATCGGTTGGGCTATTTGCATTGGAATGCTGCTGATCATGGCTCTTTTGCCAATCGGCCAGCCATACTACACCATACCTGCGGACCGTGAAGTCGTTCCAGCTGACTACACACCGGAAATCGAGGCACGCATCAACTACGATGCTACTAGCCAAGGCGCCAAGTACGTCGTCCTCATGTTCTTTGCTGCGTTCGGCTACGTCTTGTCCGACGTGTGCTCAGACAGCATCGTGTGCGAGTTGGCTCAGCAGGAGCCCATGGCAAAGCGCGGAAAGACTCAGTCAGCAATCTACACAGTTCGCACGACTCTGGTGATTATCGGTGAACTTTTGGTGGGTTTCTGCTTCAATGGCGAGGACTATGGTGGGGACTTTAACTTCTCGCTTAACTTCTCGGAGCTGATGATTATTATGGTTGTGCTGACGATTCCTGCCGTCCCCATGACCTGGTACTTCATCAAGGAAGAGAAGGCTGAACGTGCGGACTTTCGCAAGTATATCGGAGAATTCTGGGACCTGCTGTGCAAACGTGTGGTGTACCAGGTCATAGCACACCATTTTTTCGCTGGCATCTTCTCTGGCATTTCGTACACGGCTAGCTCACCGGTGCAGTCATATCTGGTGGGCGTGACTCCAATCAACAACATGCTGAATGACGTTATCGGTCACTTGTGTTTCATGACTGGCATTGTTGTCACATCCAAGTACGGTCTCCACTGGGATTGGCGTTTGATGATTATTGCTACGGGCATTGTTGTGATTGTCGTGGACTGTTTGGTTGCTCTGGTCACAATTTGGGATATCTTCCGGAACCAATGGTTCTGGCTTGGTCCTCCTATCGCAGTGCAGATCCCAAGTGGTGTCGCCTGGATCATTGCACTGTTCGTGACGGTCGAGATTGCCGGTATTGGTAATGAAGGCGCCGTCTATGGCCTTATGACTACGGTCGGCAACTTGGCGGTACCGTTTGCCACGACGATGACCCTGCTCATCAATGGCCCGCTTAATATCACGAACGCGCGTGTGCAGTCGGATGATCACTCAGTCCGTATGGATATTACATATACAATCCTGATTTCGTATGCGATGAAGATCTTTTCCTGGGTGTTCTTGATCTTACTGCCTCGCCAAAAGAAGGAGACGCAGGAACTCGCTCGTACTGGTGGCTCCAGCAAGCTCTTTGGTGGTATTACTATCGGCTACTTGTCTTTTGCACTGGTGTGGTCTGTAATGGCCAATACTCTGGCCATCTTTGAAAGTACTTCATGTCTGCTTATTGCAGGTGGTAAAGGTTGCTAATATCGTCCTGAACAAAGAATTCTATATAAGAATAGGGTCATCCATTGCACCTTTATGAACGAGTAATTGTATATATAGTATCGATCCAGTAAAATACAGAAGTAACATATTGTCATCATGGTCATCAATTATTGCCCAAGTGTTTTTATATGAATAAAGAGGTTAAGAGGTTTGCATATTGATCTAAATATAAGTCTGAATCAAAGCAAATGCTCGGGTTGCAACTCAAGGACACAATTAAAACCGGACACGTGCCACATGACAAGATCAACATTGTACATGAACACTGGCAGCACCACACTAAATTTGAAATCGTTCTAAATTTATAGACATGATAGCGTTAGGGTCGCGGAGTAGGTTCTAAAAAAAGGTTGTAAAACATGTACTACTCCTCAAGGCTACAGACCTCCCTCGACTAAGTTATCCTCCAATAAGGTATCATCTTCGGTAGGTTTATACATTTTACATCCACCGAGCTTGCTCTATGTTAGTTACAGTATAAGCTTTATGTTATAATCAGCCAAAACAAATTTACTTTATATCTGAGTATTTTTCTTGTATTTTGAAAGAGAAAACCTACTATTACACATGTCGAAGGTAGTTCAGGTGGGCGAGTTGTCATGTAGAAGGTCGTGGGAGGACTCTATAAGCAGCTTGGTGACTTTACTGAATTACATTGAGCATGCAACGGGGTTACACGACGGTTGGAACATCATATCGGAAGTACATCATGGTTGAAGTTTTTATACTGCATATAATGTGTAACACGGCATCTAGTTACACGCAAAGATTAAGTAATATACTTAATGTTTGGACTAAAGTATCCATGACACAAACGTGATCCACCCTCGTGAATATAATATCATTTATGGATTCACATGGGAAGGGATGACGCTAGTTGAAGCTAGGCATCGCGACGTCTCAGAAGGACGTCAGTCGCAAGTTCAAATCTAGATTTAAACTCATGCGACAGAATACGCTTCAAAAGAGTCGCGTATCCGATCTATATACATATATAGCCAATCAGTAGTTAAGTTTATATTTAATTATAATTCATTAAATATAGCTCAGTCTTGAATTTGCTAAACACCGAAGCATCACGCACGAGAAGCTGAAAAAGCTTCTGCGTGACGTCGGTGACTTCTTGTTTTCGAAGCTCGTTGCACTCTCGCTTAAGTGAGAGGCAACTGGTGGTACGACTGCTTAAGCAGTCGATCAGCCTCCTAACCACCCTCGCACGCGAAGGCAAGACGGTCTAACCGCTTCCTCGCTTGTGCATAAGGTGTGTGCTCGTAGTACGAGGCAACTTCGTAGAAGTGCCCGTCTACACTTGGTAGCACTAGTAGTCCTTCCCACGACTCGTCTCTTTGAGCGTGCGTGTGGTTGAGATGGTCCTTAATATGGACTGGAGTGACTTCCCTCACCTCTCCCAGCATCATAGGGAGTTGGCAGAGCATATGGCGCAGGGACTTGGTGAACAAGCCCTGTTCAACCTCTTGCATTGTCCTCCTGAGCAACATGTTGCTCAGTTGGAGCAATTTAAGGCGTGTGAGCTCGGACAGCGTAGAAACGCGTCCGAGGTAAACAGCCAAGCCACCGCTGAGTCCATCACTAAGACTCAGGACGAGCTTCGGCTTGAGAAGGCACGTAATGAGGCGCTCAACAGAACTGTTGAGACGCTCTCTGCCCGGCCTACTCAACTGAGGCCCATTCGGATGGAACCTCCGAAGTTCGATGGAACTAGCCCTCACACGATTGTTCACTGGCTATTAGCAGTTGAACAATGTGGAGTGGCGCAGCTCATCGAAGACGACACCAGAATGGTATGTCCAATTTTCGTGGCAAAGCGTCAGAGTGGGCATACTCTGCGCTGATGGCAAATACTGATGCATTTCCATCATGGGCGATATTTGAGACAAAGATTCGCGCCATGTACTAGCCGCCTAACAACGAAGTGTTGCTTATGGCGCGCTTCTTTGGAGCACGACAGGCGAAACGCTCTCTGCAAGAATTTGTGCAGGAAATGCGTTTGCTGTCGGCGTCCATTAATGGGGAACCGATACCAGAGCGTATCAAGGTGGCCACGTTCATGAATGGACTTAGGCATGGCCCATCGCGTCAGGCCCTTTTCAGAAAGGTGCCAGCGACGATGGAAGAGGCAATTGATATTGCCTTAGTTGAGGAGAAATCCTACAACAGCGCCTCGGCGACAGCCTATTACAGGCCGTCGTCCGAGAGGTCTGATGCCACTCCTATGGAGTTAGGCAATTCAGATGTGATCTGCTACAAGTGCGGCAAGCGAGGTCATATGATGGCTCGCTACTATGCCAAAGTAGCTGCTGGTGCTAAGGCAGCCAGCAAAAAGTCTCCCAACCCGAAGGGAGATGTGAAATACCAGCGTGCACGACGCACGATTCAGCCCCTGCCTAAGATGGGTCGGGAAATGCGGGAGCGCAGTAGGAGCGGGATGCCCTACTGTCGTGGACTCTGAAGCTATCCCTAAGTTCAGAGTTATCGAAAAATGGGTAGCATAGTCTATGAGATACCGAAAGGTCAGACCTCAGCCCTTTTGGTCTATAGCGCTTGCGTACGAGCTATGACCAAGTGATGAACCTTCTCGTGGATTCGGGTGCATCACAAAACTTTGTGAAGTCGCGGCTATGAAAAAGAGACCGGCAAGTTATGAGTCGCTTTGCCAGGATGGCAAGCAAAAAGAGGCGATCGTTGGCTTAGCGAACGGCGCGCTCGTTAAATCGGAGGGAATTCAAGTTGAACTCACCTTCAGTTTCAGCGACTATTCTTGTAAAGAGAAGTTCACAGTGCTAGGTATGGAAAGTCCGTATGACCTCATCCTAGGAATGCCTTGGTTGGCTAAACACCAACCATGGATAGACTGGCGTACACGCACAGTCGCTAGCTCTACGCAAGGCACCGGAAAGGATGTGCTCTTGCGAGAGGCTTATGTTACTGATTCTGTGTCCAACACAGTCGAGGGTGCGATGACGGTATGTCAATCGACACCAGGAACTACCCAGCTCGAAAGGAGTGGTGTAGCTGGAAGTGCCCTGGCAGACATCCAGGTGACACATATTCCTACCCAGGTCGAAAAGACTGGTGTAATGAATGGGGCTATGACAGGTAGTCATGCGTCCAGCACAGAGCCGAGAGCCTGTGGCAGTTGATGGTGGGCTGACAGAAAGTCAAGCGCCACAAGATCGGCACAGAGCCATGAGCCTGGTGCGGTTGGGAGGAGTGCATTAGATGAGATAGCAACGGCACCTTCTTCCAGGTCAAAGGTTGTGAGGACTTGAAGAACGAGCACCAGACGTATTAAGACGATCAATGGCACGTCAAAACGAGTGATCCTTGGATCAGTCTCGGTCCAAGAGGACGGACCTACGAATGAGTTGTTCGCGGCCGTCGAAGACAAAATTCCGGAGGTATTCTCAGTTGAGGTGCTCCAACTTGTCTTGGAATCTGCCGAGGAAATAGTAAATCTCTCGTAGATGACGTGGGATCGGTTCCTGTCCGAAGTATAGGAAGGAAAGATCCACGAGATAGTCGCACCAGGTCCAGAAGAGAACGTGGTGGACTGTTGTTCGTCGTCCACAATGGACGAGAGCGTCTCGGAGACCGACAAAAAGAAACGGCTCGCTGCTAAAGGATGGGATGCCTTGAAGGACAGCCCGTTCTATGTGTTCTGTGGAGACACCGTGATGTGTTTCCAGCAGAAGTGCCGAGCAGCCTACCGACCGATAGGGGCATAAGGCATGAGATTGACCTGGAGCTTGGCACCAAGTATTGTATGACCAGGTAATGGCCGTTGCCGAAGAAACAAGTCGATTACATCGATGAGTTCTTCGACAAGCGAGCCAAGGCGGGACATGTACGTGAGAGCAAGTCGCCTCACTGCAGCCCGACCTTCTGTGTGCGTAAAGCAACAGGTGGATGGCGCGTGGTTCATGCTTATAATAAGCTGAGCACGGCCACCATTCCGGCTCAAACACCGATCCCACGGAAAGATGTTTTGTTGAATTCCATGGGAAAGTTGTAATGGGGCAACCTATTACATAAGTAGTTATAGGGATGACACATAATTACAAAAGTAGGCATAGGGCAGTATCCGATTACCGGATACTGCGCGTCTTTTTTATGATTGGTTTAATATTGGGGTGCCAGAACCAATAATTAGCCAGTAATAAATTGACTTCCATATTGAGTGGTTCTCATGAGCTAGGGAACGTAATCGCACTTACTACGAAGTAAAAACAAAACAAAATAAAAAAGTGTTATATCGACGAGTTAATTAAGAGCGCTTCCTCAACGCCCTTATAGTGTAAGACGGTAACGGGTTCTTAGCCCGTTACAAAAGTCAACTATATTTTCCGCGTTGGATCTGAAGGATGGCTACTATCAAGTTCGCATGAGAGATGCTGATGTAGCCAAGACAGCAGTAAGCACCCCAAGCGGTATGATATGGGAGTGGCTTGTGATGCCACAAGGGTTGAAAAATGCTCCGGCAATATTCACCCGAGTGGTGGCTCACGTGATACGTCGACACCGTGCCTACGCGCCCCATTACTTTGACGATGTATTCGTCCATAGTAGGGCGGAGGACGGTCTGAGCGCAACAGAGTCGCACAAGCGTCATTTAGACGCTGTGTTGCAGACTCTGGGTGACGCCCAATTATACGTTAACTTGTAAAAGTGCGTAATAGGGGTCCCCGAGATACCTGTACTGGGCTGCATCGTAGGTGCACACGGTGTACGAGCAGACCCAGTAAAGGTAAAGGCTGTAGAGGAATGGCCAGTCCCACGTCATGTGAAGGATCTGCGCCAATTCCTTGGGCTCGCTAATTACTTGCATAAATACAGCAAGAATTATGCGAAGCGGACCAAGCCATTGTCTGACCTTTTAAAAAAGGATACAGAATGGACTTGGTCAAAGGAGCAAGAAGATGCGTTCACTTCAGTGAAGAAATCTCTTGTAGAGACACCGG